AGGTAACGGAGCATTGCCCTGCACAAACAAGAAACTGCAAGATACATCAAAAATCTCACAACCACTCTGGCCACAGCTGCTACTGAAACTAGCCAAGAAGAAAAGAAAAGCCAAAATACCTATTCTGCAGTAACGTGAACTATGCAAATATACCCAGGGAAGAGCACTAGAGGTATGGTAGGGTAGTCCAAGGGCAAACAGCAAAACAAGTTATAAGAGCTCACATTTTTTCATTAGACCAATTCATCTAGTTGAGGTGTTATCTAAATATTATCTAATATTTAATCATTTCATTACAACAATAAATCATATACCAAACCAACCAAATAGAGGATCACGTAAGCTCCAAGCTCTTGCAAAGCTTTGCAAAAAAGCTCTTTGCAATTAATAGACAAAAGATCCATCAAGAAGCCGAAGACTGCTGCAGAATTCAGCCTTCCCATACAAAAAGAGATCAGATCTTAAAAGCTTAACTGAATGTTTGTGATATTAGAGCCCTGAGTCACGCCCCAGGGAAGCAGCAGAGATCTCCCTGTAAGGTTGCCTGGTTTGGGAGTTCACCTTTCATCCACTGACGCTCCGCTGCAGGTAACAGCTGCTTAAAAACACTCTTTAAATTCAGTACATGAACTGAAAAGTGCCAACAGCATGTCAGGAGGAGGACGGAAGGATGGAAATGTGCATATACACGCATGGCATGAGGGCTTTTGGCAGGGGAAGGTACTGCAGGCTCAGAGAAGAGGGGTAGCAGCCGTTTCACAGCCGGCCCTGCAGCTGATCCAGCCACACGCTGAGTTTTGCCACACGACAGCCACCACGCTGTGGACTGACTGTAAGGGGCTAATCCTTGCTCGACCTTCCAGTGGGCACCAACTTGGGTGTAGATGATGCTCAGCAGCCCCCAGCACTTTTGCATCATCCAGTGCACCCCAGGACTTGCTGGGTGATGTCCTGCAGCATCTTCTTGATCTGGGACACAAACCCAGTGAGCGTAGCGTGTACAAGAACTAGAAATAAGTAAATAATTAAATAGTGTTACCTGCCTTTTTATAGCTCAGAAATCTTCTGCCACCCACGCTGCTCCCCACCAAGCCCCGGGCATGCCAATGCAAGCCCAGAGATTGGGAAGGTGTCAGCGCAGAAGTTGCTCCAGGGCAGCACCCTGAAACCACTGCAGGGGCTGGGGAGCCAGCTGAAGCAAAAGCTTGTTGAGACGTTTTCTGACAGTGAAGAAGAGGAAGTGAACACCTCTCCAGACACTAAAGCAACAGCAACGTTAGGATTATTCTGGAGAATTAGCATGGACTTTAACAGAGTGCTTTCATCGTGGGAAAGTCAAAGCCTGCAGCTTCATCAGCAGTCCCCCACACTGCCCGGGAAGTGCCTGTTACAACCAGCTGCTCCTGGAACGGCACCCACCGCTCCCACAGCCATCAGGGACTGATGATGACATGAAGCACCTCAGAGCTGGCAGCCAGGGAGAGCCACTGGCACCGCTGGGAACCCACAGCTCCCCCCTCCATGTCTGCAGCCACAGAAGACCTCACCTGCCACAGCACAGAAGGCGGCAACGCCCCCCATGCCTCCAGCAGAGACCCTCACATATCACCGACCCACTACACATCTGAGGTTACCACAGTTCTACGGTTTTGTTTTACTGCCAAAGGAAAGGGTCCTATGGAAACAAAATGCTACACAGCCTCCCCGTGCTCAGAAGTGAACAAGGTCAGTTAAGCAGGGAATGAGAATGGGACTAACCATTTCTTGTGTGGGAGTAACATCAAGGCTGGTGTGGGATTGTTTTCTTCTGCAAAGAAGAAAAACTAGAAAACAGTCGCTGGGGTTTTGTTTTATAGATTCCCTCTCAAAGGAAAAATAAAGGAGTAAGAGCAGATGTGTTTACTATGTAAAAGACTCATCATTAGAAATGAACATATAAAATTTAATAGCTTGGTTTAAAATACAATTTTCAATTAAAAAACAGCAGGCAAAACAAAAAAAAAATCAGTTTCATAAAACATACATGACATTGCTGCTACTGTTATAAGACCCGTGTCCCAGAGTATCTTAGAGTGGAAAACAATCATCAGATTTAGTTCACATACTTCATTAAGCAGTAAAAAGAAATAACATTCATGTCAATCTTACCTCTATGAAGACTCTAAATCTACTTCCCTGACCCTAGACTGAGTTTCTGTAATAAAATTTCAATGTTCAATAAAAACACGTAAATATATGTATTCTATATATCAGGTTTTTAAAAAATTCCCTTGCCATAGTAACATTATTCCCGTGACTGATGAAGGGAAGCCCCTGCTGTGGTGTTGGCTGGGTACAAGTCCCATGGCTGCTCTGCCTCTGCAGGTGGTGGCATGTGTTGGCCAAGTCTCCAGCGCCGCGCTGCATGCCAGCTTCTCTCCTTCAGCTTCAAGCCTACGGGCTCCGTCTACACACCCGTGGCTGTGGACACATCCACGTGAGTTTGCTCAACTCTGGCCACAGAGCAGAGACGGGAGCACATGGTGCCCAGAGCCTCAGCCAGGCTCCGTGGGGCCCGTCCATGGAGGAGGAAGAGGAAGGAGGGGGGGAATGGAGTGGTTTATGAACCAGTTCAGGATTGGTCTGAACACAAATCCCAAAATACTATATTTCATATAAATCATTAAAAAATATGGCTGGGAAGGACTTCAAGTGGTCACCTAGTCTCAGCACCAAGGGAGAATCAACTACACCTGTGGCAGTCCAGAGATACCTTTGCCCAGCCTGGCTCTGAAGATCTCCAAAGCCAAACTCCACCGCCTCCCTGGGCAACCTGCTCTTCTCACTAGAGAAAACTGCCTCGACATCTAACCTGAATTTCTGAAATCTATGCCCATTACTTCTCACTGTGCTTGCAGTGGACCAGGAGAACACTTCCGTGTGTCAGGAGGCTGCTCCCCTCAGCCTCCCCTTCTGACGATGACCCCTCAACCAAGCAACTCATCCAGCCCTTCCTGCTTAGGAGCCACAAGCTCTGGCTGAAGGAGCGGGCGGCTGGGCCTCTCTGGGACATCCGAGAGGAGCAGGCTCTGCTGGAAGGGCCAGGTTCAGCACAGGCACAACGCTCCAGCAGAGTCCTTGGCGATGCCAAGTAGAGCAAAAGGCGGGTCTCCTATTTCTTGCAGGCCGTGCTCCTGTTTACCAACTCAACATGGCAATTGCCTGCCTCTTCTCAACAGCAGCATGACACAGCTGAACATTTGCTTATGACTCATTAACCATTAAGTAGAATCATATCCTACTTTTCCAGGCTATTTCTCCAGCCTATGCAAATTGACCTTCACATCCTAGGTGAGGCACATGCAGGTCTTCCCAGCTTTGTGCTGTCTGAAAACATTATAAATCTCTCTCATTACCCAGATCCCTAACAAAAGCACTAAGTGGCACTAGATCTGACACCCAAGCTCATCTGCTCATACTGCGATGCAGGTTTTTGCCTTAGAGCCAAGTGCTGCCGTTTAAATGTTCCTCTCTCACTTGCTACTAACCAGAGTGCCTCTCCTTCATAAGCACATGTGCGTGATGAGCAAATACTGTACAGTCTACTGCAGAGCAGTATTTTCTGGAGGTGCCTGGCACTCCCAGCTGTGGCTAGGCTCAGCATTCCTGCGACCAGCTGTCTGTTTGGTCTCACCACCTCAGCTGCAGATCAGTACCTGGCAATGTATGTATATACCAGGAATGCTTAACCTGCTTGCAGCCCCTAGTCCCTGCTAACACTTGGCCTGCTGCGCCAGGATGCCACCTTCCTCTCTCAAAAGCCTTGTCTGTGCACTTCCAGTTGTCAACATCCTAGAAGCTTGCAAGCTGTTATCTGACCCATGGGTTCACGCAGCCTGAGCTGCTGCTGTGGGCAGTGTCCAACTGAGTCTTAAGTACACTGCTACAGAAAAAAATCCACCCTCCAGGAGACCTTCCTGACCCTCAGAAGTGAGATTTCAGGGAAATTGCATCTGCTCAGCTTCTCTTGGGACCCAGCTCTCAGACTTGGCCCAAATCACCTTCCAGGGCTGCAGTATGCAGCCATTTCAGGGCTCAAACTGGCAATCCGTAAGAGAAGCCAGGACTGCTGTCACATGGCTGTGCAGGAGAGTTGGTACCTTCTTCCTTCCACGCAGGAAGATCCATGTCAAACAAGCAGGTCACCTGTGCCTTCTATGAATGTACACATGTGTGCTCACCTTTGGTGCATGTTAAGGGTTTGTCTGTTTTTAAATAGCTACGTTAAATATCTGTTTTCTCTGTATATGGCATCCTTTTAGATGGGCTTCTTTGCATATATTCACGGTATATGCGAAACACCGTATTTTATATATATTATATATCACTTGTATGTACACATTTACAAACCTTCAAAAATATATTGCACTTATATACAATGTAGCTTCATCTGATGAGAGTTCACACAGTTACTAAGGCGAGTTCTTCATAAGCAAGGCAGTTTTACATTCCCCCCAAATGACACAAGTGATTTCAACAGTCTGCCCTGTTCAAGAGTAAACATTATAAAGACTTTTCTCCAACCTGCACACAATTCCTACTAATATCAATTAGTAGTTTTGCAGCTTTACCTAGCAGAAAACAGTCCAGTAAAATGGTATTAGCTGAAAACAGGCTCAAACATGGATACTGAATAGATAAATAAGATATCACCACTCTAAAAGGCCACCTTCCAGGAGTTTTCCCCTCCTGTATTTGCTAGTGTTTTATACATACTCTCTATTTAATCACCAATCTTTGCTTGCTCATTTCAAGTGCAAATAAGGTCATGAGCATTACAGTGTTCTTTGGAAAGAACAGAAACACAAATGTATTAAGCAAAAACACTGCTCTGCTCCCCAGAACAAGTCAACACCTGGCTTTCTTCTGGAGAAGGTGATTAGTGTTTTGCCCAACATCCTAAATTATGGGAAAATGTTCACTTGAGACCTTAGTTTAAAATCCTCAGAGGATCCATGATCTTAGATCTCAGTGAGAGTGAGCTTGTAAGATCCTCCAACTTCTTCAATCTGCAACTGGAAGGTATCTTCATTAGAATAGTGTTTCACAATGTTATCATCCATGTTGACCAGAATTCTGGAAAAATAAAATAAGTCAGGGAAATATTACAGTTCTAAATGCCAAAGACAGAAAAGGTGCTCTTAAGTCTCAGAGAGCCTGGACTGTCCAGAGGTAACACAAGAACCCTGCTCACTATCTCTCACCCATTACTTCTTACAGCAGATTTAGCTGTTCTTACCCAAACCTGCCATCAAGGCTTGTAGTTGTGCTTCTAGGATCTGAATGAAAGGGTTAAGTCTTGGCTCCTGGACCAGGAGGGAGGGACATCTCAGAATTGGTTTGACAGCTACAGGCAATCAGCGCAAAACCCTACAGAGCTCGAAGGGCACAAACAGCCGATCCCTGGCCACTTCATTTTTCATTTGCTTTAACAGTCAATACCTGTGTGTTTGTGTGCACACATGCGTGTGTGTGCCTGTGTGTGCACACACAAGCTGTCCTTAACTGGGAAAAAACCCATTGCTATTCTGGTGGGTTAATTCTGCTATGAAAACAGAAGCCTTGAAACTACATTCCAAAGGTGATTAAAGGACATATTTATCAAGCCAGAGGGGCTTTGGGGAAGGGGCTAAGACACCAAAGAGAAAAAAAACAAGAAAATCACCAAGAGATTAAAAGGAAAATCAAAAGCAGACATGTTCAGGAACTCTATTATTAATGTTACAAAATAAAAGGACTGTGGAGTGTGGCCTTTGTGGGGAATGGGTACTTCATAAGTAAAGTTCTCTTAAATTTAACACACAAAGACAACAGGCTTAGTAATTGTAGCTAACTGTAGACAGACATAGCAAGTACAGTTAACCACTGGAACAATTTAACATCAGTTGAAGTAGGTTCTTCATCACTGCGAGTCTTTAAACAAACTGAACTACTCTTCCGCTGACATAATCAACTCTGGTTCAAACAACTAAGTCAGAGAGGTCCTGTGACTTGTATTACCCACAAAGTCAGATTACGTATTTCTGCAGGACCCTGCCAGCTGCTCTATGAATGACATTGGAATAGGATTACTACATTGCATGAACACACACATCTGCAATTGCATATGTGCAGTGCATGGAGAAGTTACAGAGCAGATTTACCTACAGTTTTGAAAAAAAAAAAAAAAAAAAAGTAGTTCATATTCTGAGACAGTCACTGCATAGATGGATACTCACCCTTTTTTACATTTTTTGAAGATTTTTCCTATTTTATCAAAAGGAACATCATACTTGTCAGATATCTACAACAAAAGAAAGCAAGCATCGGTGAAGCAAGGAGACTGCTGGTACTGTCTTCCACTTACTATTTTACAAAAAGGAACAAAAAACAAAAAAAAAGCCCTGCAGATGAAAACAACTGCTCTGCCCTATAAATGCAACACTGAACCCTGAATTACAGTATAAGCCTACAGATGAGAAACCCTCCTCTGCAGTTTGTCAACTTGTGTGCAAAAAATCTAATCATGTTCTAAACCTGGCCACTGATTTCTCATACAGCAACCTCCTGCCCCCACACCAAAAAGACCACGCATTAAAAAAACACCCCACACCCTAGTTCTCATCCTCTCTTGGCTATCTGTTCTCTTAGCATATCAAAAAACATTTTTAAATTGTGTCAAATGGATCAGGTGAAAACTAGTCATCACAATGGCTGGTGCAGGAAGAAAATAGCAACAAAGACCTCAGCTGCTAAGGACACGAGCTGATCAGAAATGTCCCCTTACCCAGCAGGGTGACCTCAGTGTGAAACCACAGCCACTAACCATGGCACTTCACTGTACAAACCTCCAGAAAGCGATGAGGTCAGTAACCCAAGCCTGGTTTACTCTGGCAAACTGCACTCTCACAACAACAGCAAGTACCAAACCAATATGCCGTTTCAGGGTGCAAAAGCCCAGGGCATTTCCTCCAAGCTACAGTTGTGAGCTCTTGATTCCTTGCTTTAAGGCCAAGTGAAACAACAAGGGTGCAGCTTCACTTCAGGACCATGGGTTAAGGGAGGACTTCACAGGCTTCAATCCCCCTCCCCATTAGCCCCACCTCCAGCCTGCCTGCACTGGCAAAGCTCCACAGCCTGGAGTGAGCTTCAGGTTACAGAACCATCTCTGGGTCCCAGAGCTAACGGCAAGACCTGGCTGTACAGCCCCAAAGCCTCCACCCTCTGAGCACTGACGAGGCATTAGTCACAGAAAGAGACAGCCAGAAACGTCAGTTTTGAGCTCGTGCCAAACATTACACCATTCCTTGGAGTTAAGCTCTGTATTTCCTTTGCAGCACTGCAGCAGCAAGGGTAGTGGAAGGCTATTTTGGAAGTCAAGTACCAGAGAGCAATTTCATGCCTGCGTGCACTGATACATAAAACCCTTCAAGCACACTCAGAAGCTTGGACTTGGAGCTCTTCATAAACAGGTTATAAAGGGGGATGGGGGGCCCCCAAACAAGGTTTTGAAAGGCTGAAATAAACCCAAGCCACTGAACACATGCTGGAAATCACTCCATCTTCTAATTAAAATACCCTCTCTGATGTGAGGGACATCCACAGTGAGAGTCTGTTGACCATATTTTGACAAGAGTAGGAAGAGACCTATACAGCTGCTTCTGCAGCTTGGCCAAAGCAGAGCCTGCATAAGAAGCAAGCCTAGAAGGCACTTTCTCCACCAGCACCCATCATTTTGAGACTCTCTCAGGTATCTAGTTATCAAGCTTGACACACCTGGATTTTTAGGAAGGCTGAGAAACACCTCCTTACACCCAGACACCACAGATGTGAGGTAACATTTAAAAGGGAAGGTTTCTGAAGTCCCTTAATAATGAATGAAAGCTTATTTACATTACTTTCCATGTTATTGAAAGGAAGTCAGCCTTACATTTCTTATCCAGAAAAGCACGGACACAAGCTGTGACTGAAAGCCTAGCTTCTGTGGCTGTCCGAAGCACGAGGACTGGATAGCCAGGCACTACACTTGCTTTTTCTCAAACTGGAGGCAAGGACTATAAAACCTTCTTACTTACCGCTTCCATTAGACCTTTCAGGGATGGTGTCTTTAACATTAGTGCATCAAAGACTTCCTCTGACTCTTTTCGGACATACAGCAACACTGAAAAGCAAATCAGAAAGAGGAATTTACTGCATAATTGTTCCTCAGAAATTATCTCTGTATGATAGTGGCTAAGTACAGAGTAATACACGTTGAGGATCTCATGGAGAAATACACACATACACTCAATATACATTGGAGATCGCATCAAAACCACACAAGGCTAGCTCAAAACATACTTTTTGCACACAGAAATACTGTGTGATCAAGCATCTTTATTACCAAAATACTTACAAATTTTTCTCTATTTGCTATTTTCTCTATTGTTTGAAAAAAAGTTGTATTTGAAACACAATGCTCTGGTTTCAGCTGGGATAGAGTTAATTTTCTTTCTGTTACAGTGCTGTGTTGTGGATTTCATATGGGAATAATGTTGATAACACACCAGTGTTTTAGTTGACTTAGGATAAGCACTACTTAGCAACAAGGACTTCAGTTTCCCATGCTCTGTCAGCGAGGAGGTGCAGAAGAAGCTGGGAGGGAGCATATCCAGGACAGCTGACCTGAACTAGCCAAAGGGATATTCTGTACCACAGGCCGTCATGCCCAGTATATAAAAGGGGGAATAGGCTGGGGGGGACTGATCACTGCTTGGGGACTGGTTGGGTATCAGCCAATGGGTTGTTGTGCATCACTTGTTTTTCTCGCTCTCTCCTTTTGTAATCTTCCTTTTCATTACAATTATTGTTGTATTTTATTTCGGTTATTAAACTGTTCTTATTTCAACCACAACACACAAAGGTAGAGAGCAAAACATAGAGCTTTGAGACTCTTGGGTATCCATATCTCACAGGTCATCTGCCTCAAGACTGCACAATAAAATTACTTTGCAGATGCTACCACAGCAGGTGAAGCCATCCTAGCTACCTCCTAATTTTTAAATAGTTTGTCCAGTCCTCTGCTCCTCCTGCGTTGTCTCATCTCTCTTCCTACCCCTTACCACGTTTCTGTAAAACTCATACCACCCCAACTGACACAATGCAAACTTAGTCTCCTGCTAGGAAGGAAAGAATAAGAAACTTAATTAGGTAAGCATCCCTAACATTCTCCAACTAGCAGAGAGTCACTCTATGTAACATCAGCCTCATTAAAAACAGCATTAAGGCTGAGGAATAAGCCATGAGATCAAGAAAGCTTGGACTTTAACAGCTTTGCTGTCTTTAATCCATCTTCTAATAACTAGGTATTGCAGCCTGGATTGTTTACAAGGGTTCATCAGCCACACCTCTGACACACCTGCAACACAGAACAATTACTGACATATCTACTTGAACAAGATGAACTCAAGACACCACAGCACCTTGATGGTTTTCCTCTGCTAAAGGCAGGTTTAAAAAAGGAGGACTGTAGATTTAAAGATGAAAACAGCACAAACACTCAGTTACAGCACAGGTCAGATGATGTACCAGCCAAAGGAGAGAGAATTCCATGGGTCTTGCTGTGTGGCATACATCAACAACAACAACAACAAAAAAAAAAAAATCAAGAAATCTAATTTCCTTCTGTAAAATCTATCCTTCCTTAGTAATGTATCCAGATTATAGAAGTGCATCCCCATTAAAGTCAGACTTGCTAGACTTAACCTTCGCTGCATGACAAGATTAATCCTCCTCTTTTAATCCTTTAAGCTTTGTTGCAGTCCTTCCACACACAACTCATCAGGCAGGTAATCCTCTACACCATCTCCAAAGGGACCTTTCATCTTCCACAGCACCACAGCAATATCCAATCCCACATCAGATTGCAAAGATTAACAGGTTAAAGGTTAAAAATAAGCAGATATTCTCTCAGGCTCTCAGCCGTGAACAGCACATTTTCCAGCACCAGGAAAGATGCAACAGTTTTATGTCCAGAACCAGTTCTTGGTATTCATTGCTTTAAGTCCTAGAGAAGATTTCCAAAGTATTTTGTAGTAGATTACGCGATGAATTCTCTCCCCCAGTCCAACAAGGAGATTGGTAAACTGCTCACCTCCTCTGAGTCTCTTTCCTTACAGGTTCAGAGCCAATTACTCCCCAAGTTGGCAGAAAACCCCAGCAATTCTGACATTGTAGAAGATCTGCAGAGCTGAACTGCATCATGATATACAAACTCTTTCTATTACTACTCAGAGCCAGAAAATTCAGGCTAAAGTATACTCCAGAATAAATTAAAACAACTCTTTAATCTCAGATGCATATCTTTATCATGATGGACAAACACTCCAATAATTCAGTCTTTGAAAGAAGAAAACAATACCTCTTTTTGGCTCTTCTATTCTGGCCATTTTATTTGGAGTGGCAATAAAGTCCTCTTCACCGATATAGGCTCCTCTCTTCAGGCTGGAACTGTCATTAACAGGGCAAAAAGTTAGCAGTGGTACAATTACAGGAACTGTCTGAGGGCAAATCTTCAGGAGGCTGAAGCAGTGCAGCTCTTACCTTTCACCCTCCAGTTCTTCTGAAGCAACAGGAAGGACCTTTAAAAGAGAAAAAAAGGGGAGATTTGTCTTTTGACATACTCAGAAAAACACATGCTGAAGTATCTAGGTAGCGAGAACCTCATGTGGTACTCAGTCCTCGGAAAACACTACAAAGGGCTCTGAATGCTACAAAACCAAGTTGCATAAGGGTAGACTCATTAGCTGGTGTAACATGGTCCTGCCAGCAATGCTCTCCCCACCCCTTTAAGTGCTATCTGTTAATAGCGACTTTACCATAGCTTTGTTTGCATTAGAGTCACTGGCATGGAACAACAATCCTGCTGCATCCAGCATGAGCAGAGGCCCAAGAGCATCAAGTTAAAGGCGAGGGAACCGCTGCATCCATGGCAGGAGCTGGAGGGGACAGGCAAATGGCTCACCCACCCAACTCACTCAAGCACATCAGTGCAGGACATAAAGGGAAAACAAGGCTGTCAAGTGGGGACCCGGCCATGGCTACACTGCTAGAAGATGCTTTGGTCCAAGCAATAAACATTGTCCTTCACTTAATATACAAATAATACTTGCACTTAGGGTTGTGAAAATTTTATCCAAGAACTACAATTAATTTTATCTTTCAAACTTGTATCAAACAATACTTTGGCTCAATCTTCCAAAAGCCAGTAAGCTTTACCTCTTCTCTTTAAGAAAAATTAAAGGATCTTATTTCAGAGAGACAGGAACATACAAGAGCTAATCAGCTTTCTATCTGGACTGGCATAGTCTTCAGACAGAGCTCAGCACAAGAGCCTTCATAGGAAAACGTGCAGAAGCTTTACGGGTACAAATTTATTCTCCATCCCTGTTAGAAGTGTAGGCAAAGTTCTTAAAAAGTAAGGTTTAGATTCTGTTAGAGCATGCCAGAACTCCCAGCACAGCAAAGTTCAAGATTTTGAAACTTGGTTGCACTCTAATTTTCTCCCTTCCAGCTTCCTGTCAGCTGGGACTTTCCAGGAACGCTGAGGCAGGGCACTCTGGCAGCAGATCACAGAGCTGACACGCTTGCCAGTTCCACAGCAGGCTGGAGGAACCTGAGGCCTACAGAAGCACACCAGAAACCAAATGGATTTTACAAGAGAAAACCAGCCTGCAGTTCATTTAATGAACTCTTGGCTGGAGATGCTTTGGAAACATCATTTCAGGTTCATGGAAATAGGAGCTCATAGACAAATAATTTATTCATAAAACACCCCCAGTTAACTCTAGCCAATGTGACTAGGAGCAACATCTCTTGCTCACATGAGGCTCAGCCTGTATTTGTTTACAGCATCAGTGCAAATAGTCTGGCATTTCATATGTATATTCATACACACAGCACCCTAGGCTTTTTGCTACTACATCCCATAGCCTTCCTCACCCCTACACCCAGGAGCTTTACTCACGTGAGCACCACGCTGAAGATTTGCAAAGTGAACATCAGGAATGAAAAGGACTGGCTGAGTGTCGAGATCCATGAAGGGCTTGAAGATGGTGATGTCCGTCCGTTTGTGTGAGGGAAGCATTGGCACTTTGACATCAGAAACTGTAGATACCAAAGATTGGAATAGAGTATAGTGAAGACACTGATGGGATCGTGGCTCTCCTACATCATTTAAGAGGCACATGTGCCACTGAACAAGGGTATTGTGTAGTCAGGGTCAAAAGGGAGAAGCTCCTGTGGTACAGGAGTTTGAAACTGGGCTGTCTACATCTCAGATAAGGGCCTAGACCCTAAGGAAACTGCTCATTTCACATGGGAGTTTGCTCCATCTCTCCAAGTGAGCTGTTTGACTTTGTTCAGATATTAAACTAGGCTGGAGAATGATCTGGCCACTCACCCCAACAGAGGAACACAGGTCTTCCATGTACCAAGCAAACCATCCAAACAGAGGACAAAAGCTAGTCCAAGTCCCCTCCTCTCCCTATCCATTCCCTCCAAAGGTTGTTGGATTTCCAGTACCAGGAAGGCAGAAAGACGACAAAGAGCCAACTTGCAACCCACATGGTTCCAGTTGGGAGTCCCTCAAAAAGACAGCACCACAAAAGCACTATCACACTACAAAGGTGGTACAGAGGTTTCTTGCAAGATGCAACATTTAGAGTTACATTTCAATCCCACACTTTCAAATGTTATTTTTTTGTTCATCTCATTGTTTATGCTGGCCACCTCAAGCTGCCAGACCCCAGTTCATCCCCCATCAGGACCAGCACTGTGTCCCACAGAGCCCTTTGGCCCTCACAAGACACCAGCTGATGTGACAAGCCACCAAGTGGACAGACTTCACCCACAAAGACCCTTTTGTGAGACGTGAAGCAGAAGGTGCCTTAAACTGCATTTCAGACAAGTTCATGTCAAACTGATCCCAGCTGAAGACTTCCACTCATTTTACCAAGTGGAAACTTTCCAATTTTGGGTCAAAACAGCTCAAAGCCAAACACTTCACTTCTCATGTCTTCAGTGGGAAACATACTTTTTTTTTTTTTTTTTTTTTTTTTTTTTTTTTTTTTTTTTTTTAACTTGCAAAACTGATTTTTGTGAAGATTGTTCAATCCTTGTAGAAACTCAGTCCAGACGTAAAGAACTTTTCTGCTGTTGATGAGTCCATGTGCACATGGCATTTGTGATCCTGGAGGTGGCAGTTATGGCTTAAAGCAATCAAAGATTTCCCACACAAGAACTGAACAGCAACAGACTGTACTTTCCAGGAAAATAAAGGTCACATCAGGCTAAGCTCAAGCCTAGGAAATTCACACTGGAAAGCAACTTTTGTGAAATAACAAGATCCTGGAAATCTGTACTGAAACTGCACTTTCCAGACATTACGCAAAGGGCTGCATGCAGCATTCTTCTGGGAGCCGTTGGAGCTACTACATTTATGAAATGCTAACAGTGTGCTAAACCTACCTTTCACCATGTACTTTGGGAAAAAAAAAAAAAAAACAAAACCAGCCCTTTCTGCAACTGCCCTTGAGCAAATGAGTTCCCTTGTAGCATAATCTTTTTCTGAAGCTGCTCCAGCAGCCTGTACCTGCTGTGTCAGGAAAATCCTGCCCAGCAAGCCATGAGGTGCTCGCTTGTTGAACCAGTTGGACTGTTAATACAAGCACACGGAGCAGAGCCAGGGAGAGCACACACCTGTCCGGTGCAGAGGAAGAACAGGGAGATACATTTTCCTCTAAACAGCTCTGCTGGTGAATAACTAGTCATCCAAATACAGGATCTGTTGCAGTCATCTGCAGCAGTTAAATGAAAGATGGTCAGCCAGAAGAAGCTCCACAGTCTTTATATACTACAAATGCTTCCTTCACAACGTTTCTCACACCCTTCACAACTTCTATCAAATTATTTACTACAGATCACTTTGCTCCAGGAGTGAGCATAAGTTCGGGAGGCTGGAGCCTCAGTCCCAAGGCTACCACCACCTTGCTGCACAGTTATAAACACATTTTTAACATAAGTGAAAGCTTAAGTTTAGGATCAAGCTGGAAACACTTGGAACAGTTCCAGTACTTGTTGCCACACAAAGCTGAAGGGGCTCCAGCAGTGCCCAAAAATTACACACTCATCCTGTCATTCTACCTGCTAAAGACTATACCTGATTGAAAACATAGCAGGACCCTGTCTTGGACAGGAGGAACTAGGTAGCAGTGAAGTCTTAAGTGACTCATTACATTGCAAAACACAATTAGTGGCTCCATAAGCAATTGCTTAAAACAAACACTATTCCACAGAGGATAAAAATTGACTTAGGACAGTTCTATTGCACAAGTTATTTGTAACCAAAATGAGATACAATATTTAAAATACTGATGGAATAATATCTACTTACAGGCATTCAACTGAGAGCTGGGGTCACTGCATTTGCCTTTTCTTTTGCTTTGCTTTCGTTCTTCATCCCTGATCTTCCTCTCTGCTCCCTGCCAAACAAGAGATTAAGGGAAAGGGGAAGAGAGAGAGGGAGAAGGTATTTTTAGTTTTTTGGGTTTTTTCAGCTGCAGAGGCAGGAACACCGATTCTTCCAGAGCTGTGTTTGTGGAGGTCGGTTCCACAGTACCCAAACTGAAGGTTTGACAGTGTGCCAACTTTCAAGTCAGATGGGGATATGACAAGATACCCACAGCTATAGAAACTGTATCAAGTGTGAGATTAAATATATCTAAGGTGTTTAAAACAACAAAATCCAACAAAATCTGCAAGTTCCCTCAGTTTAAGAGTTCACTAACTCATCATTAAATCCTGATCTATAAAAATCAAGCCACACTTGGACCACAAAGTGCAAGATACCTTCCTCCACACTGCACAAGGATCCAGCAGCAGTTATACCAGCCTTCATTGATCTCAAGCTGAACACATGCATAATTTAAAGTAGGCATTGCTTCTCTTTTTATTAAGAATAGGCTATGGGGGAATCCACAGATACTTAGCCAGGTTCTTGCCATGGCTCCCAGCCCTCCAAACCAAGCAGCAGTGGGAAGAGAACTATATTTTCTGCAAGGTTCAGACATCTACGACAGAGAGAAAAGGAAGTAAGGAGGTTTGTGTTGGAATCATGTCCATTCCTCCAGCTCTGTCCAGACCTCCCACATGACTATGGGTTAAGGCAGGGATGTCACACTGCCAGTCACATAAGGTGATAAGCCCATGGTAGATCCACAACAGTCAGTCCTGGTGCTACCACCAGACCACTGCCCCAGCTGTATACACAATTTCTACCTGTCTCCCAACATTCTCCTGCAAAACAGAGTAAGAAGTAACAGTTATCTGGCCACAGGATGCTATTGTTTCTTATTCCTACCCATGAAAAGTTGCCAAAACACAGCCACATCCTTACACGGTGCTGGAGGAAGACTAGATTAGTTACAGCAAACAAGATGTCAAAAAGCATGTGGCGATGGGGTGTGGAAACTGTGCCTAACACACAGCATAGAAGACTCCCAACCTCATGGTAAATCAACACCCTATGGGCGACAGGATGCCTGTGCCTGCTAGGTAGCAGTGGGCATGTCTGCACTAGCAATAAAAATGAAAGCCTATATATTTGATGTGTGTTAACATATATCACCTTTTCTCCCATCTAACAGCAGGGACACAAGCAACTTCAGGCAGCTGCTGTGAAAGAGAGGAAAAATTACTAATGAAGACACAGCCATTGCCAGCTTTGCTTGACCCCATAAAGCTGATACAGCCCACATTTAAGACGTCCACCTAAACCTCAGCACATCTAGACCCATGTCCCTCTGCAACTTCCCTTACCAGAACAGTTGCAACATCTCAGCTTGACAGCAGAAAGATGGTATTTGGCTCCAGCCCTGTCTTCTACCATTCACATGGAAATAAAGTCCTGCTACTCAAACACTGTGCTACAGCTTCCTCCTGGAGAATGGGTTAATCCATCAAGAGCACACATTTTGAGAAAACCTCTGCTCTCCCATACCTACAGCCATATTTCCACTTGAAAGCCAACTACAGCAGCCCAGATAAACACATCTCAAATCCCACATAAAAAAAAAAAAAGAAAGTTCTGTCTTCATAACAGGCTTTTCTACCTTACTAGCAGAGCTCAATAACAACCAGGACCAGACACTTTTGAAGAAAAGACACTGGGAATCCTGTATTCCACAATTAGAGAATAAATAAGCTTATAAGAAAGAAGTTTTCCCAACTTCATCACCCAGAGAACAGCCTACAGTCTGAAAAGCAGTATTTCATACTCTTATCTATGTGTTAAAAGTTGTGGGTTAGGTTTTTTTTGTTGGTCTTTTTTTCCTTGTTGTTCTTTCCCTTGAGGTCTCAAGTTGGGTAATGGATTCTTGGGCTGAGAAATGGAAGTGGCATTTTAGGGAGAGCTGCCATCCCCACCTCCTTCAGAGAAATGTGATGTATTTGATAAGCAGCAGAGATGCAGGGAGAGGATGGGCCATCGAGTCACAACATGCTGGGATCTTTCATGACACCACAGGACTGCCTGTTTCTGCACACGGGCTGCATCAGTCGATGTGTTTCAGAGACAGAAGACTGCTCCTCATCCCCTCTCTGCACACACTCTGGTGCTGGACGCAGCTCTGGCACACAGCCCACGAGCTGTTTGAGCTCTTCTGCCCTGTGGTCCCAGCAGCAGAGCTGCTGGACAAAAAACTGGACAGAAGCCTGCAGGGTGCACCTGCAGCCCAGAAAGCCATTTGTGTCCTGGGTTGCATCCAAAGAAGCATGATCAGCAGGTTGAGGGAGGTGATTCTGCCCCTCTACTCCACTCTGGTGAGACCCCACCTGGAGTACTGCATCCAGCTCTGGGATCCACAGTACAAAACAGGCATGGACCTGTTGGAGTGGGTACGGAAGAGGCCATAAAGATGATCAGGGGGCTGGAGCACTCCCCCTATGAGGACAGGCTGAGAGAGTTGGGGTTGTTCAGCCTGGAGAATGTGCCAGAGAAATCTTATTGTGGCTTTTCAGTATATAAAAGGGCCTTATGAGAAAGATGAAGAGAGACTCTTTACCAGGGCCTGTAGTGACAGGACAAGGGGCAACAGTTTTAAACTGAAAGACGGTACGTTTAGGTTGGGCATAATGAAGATTTTTTTGTTTTGGTTTTGTTTGTTTGTTTTTTACGATGAGTGTTGCAAAACAGTGCAACAGGTTGCCCAGAGAGGTTGTGGATGCCCTGTCCCTGGAAGTGTTCAAGGCCAGGTTGGATGGGGCTTTGAGCAACCTGATCTGGTGGAAGGTGTCCCTGCCCATGGCAGAGGGATTAGAACTAGATGATCTTCAATGTCACTTCCCACCCAAACCATTCTGTGATGATGCAACAGAAGGAACAGTCTGTGTTGCTGCCCATCCACATGATTGCTGCCTCCAGCTGCCCTGCACCATCTCTCTCCTTCCAACAGCACCTCACTTGGTTGTTCCTACCATCCCATGAAAACCTTCTCCACAGCACTGCCTATCACTACAAGGGTAACAGCAGGTTCCAGAGGACAACAGTAGCTACAGCCTGTGAAATACTGTATTTTATCTTCCCCATGTGCATGCTTAGTTGAGGCACCATTTACAGCAGAGAAGGTCCTCTTCCTCTGGGACACGTCATCCCCATACCCACACAGCCCAAATATTGCTGGGCTTGTGCTGTAACATGCCACGGGATGACAGCATTACACCTATGCTATTTTACTCAGGTTTTGAAACCACATAGTATTAGATAAAAACCAAAAGCCCTGGGCACCTGTGGACCTCTTTCCACAGAGAAAGCACAAAGGGATAGACAGAAACACATGAAGAAACCTGGTCTCAGTGGCAGCAGCCAAAAACTAGAAACAGATATCAACAGCTTCCCCTTTCACCCCAAGCATGGGAATCCTCCTCCTTCACTCCTTTCTCATGCAAAGGCCCCCACACAACATTAACTAAATTGTTGGACCTTCTGTAGAGTATCTATTGATTTGTACACACACACAAAAAAAAAGACAGCAGAGGACTACCATGCCAGTGTCTGGGTTCAAAGTCAGTTCAGGTATGCAATGCAAGCACAGCCTTAACAGACAAAGGAGTAGAGGGGACCTACACAGAGCTGTTGCTGTTAGGTGGCCACAGCATCATCATTTTGTGCTTTTTTTTTTTTGCCAACAGACCTCCACACTACAGACTTAGTCCTCCATGAAGTAAACACAAATAACAGCACTTCTGCAGGTAAGAGTGGCCACATGAGGACAAACACATTAAGGACTGCAATACATGTGGATACTGTAGTAATAATGGTCCTGTAAACATTCAAGACCAGCTGATTGATTACCTAAGATTCAAAGCAGGGCAGAAAATGGGTGCTCCTTCTGAAATGCCAATGCTCATAGAGAAGGCCTGGAGGAGGTGGCCAGCATTAGGGTCTACAAGTCAGTAGCTGCAGCTGTAAGGACACAGGTCTGCTCACAGCAGCACTTGCCCAGTGCCTCACACAAGTGACTGAGTACACAGTTTGATTCAATGTGGTGACAAGCAGTATTCAGCTTGTTGGCCTCTGTCCCCAGCTCTCATTGCCAGACCCAGTCCAGATCTGAAAGGCAGCAAACTTCAACACCATTTCTATAAATCATCAGAATCATCAGGCATCAACCTCACATTGGCTGCATGTTCACAGAACAGTCAGATTAAATACAGAAAAGTAATCTTTTCTCCTTCCCTCCCTCCTCTTTTAACTTTTGCAAAGTATCTGGAGGAATAAAGCAAGAGCAAAGGTCAAAATCCCAAAGGAAAATAAAAGATATACTGGCATTATTGTACTAATAGACTTGCAGAAATTTATGGTATAGACTCAAATGGTTTCCTTTAAGCTACGTACTGACTACGTCTGCCTTTTATTAACCAATTTGTCTTATTAGCAGTGGCACAAGCCTGTCAGTAATTTTAGCATGTTATCAGTAATTGACTGGACAACTTATGAGTAAAAGATCTCCCTATTCCCTGTAGCGAGTCTATACTTACTGGTGTTGCAGAGAATACATGCTGATAATACACAGGACTCCCAGATAACAAAAGAGCTTTAGATGACACACTTGCCTCGGTCTCATTTTAAAGGACAAAAAAGAAGAAAAAAGGCCTGAAGAAAGCCCATGAGACCCAAGCCTCTCAGGCTTACTGGTAAGTCTTTATGATAGCTCTGGAGCGCATTTGTTAACTCCCTGGTAAATTCTTAACAGAAATCATCACAACAGAAGCCATCTCAAGAGGCACTTCAAGGAAGATGACTAAGTAGTTTTACACCGTCAGGCAGCTTCTCCCAACCATGCAAGAAAGCAAAGGGGCCTATTTAAAAGGATATAGATGAACAATAAAACGTGGTAGGATGAGTCAATGGGATGCTACAGCAGACTGCAGAGGGCTCCATATAGTTTGGGAGGTAAGTGGTGGCAGAGCAATGGTGCACGAGATGAATCTTTGCAGCAGTGTCCCGGGAAATGACAAGGCAAGACCGCACAGCACACAACCAGTGCAAAGACAGTACAGGAGTGGGGGCCACAAACCCATCTCAGACCTGCAGCTGCACAGAGAGGTATTTGAGATAGCACTCACAAAGAGTCTGTGCTATGAAGATGGAGTCCGGATGCAAAGAATGAGAGGCCCTAAGCAAGGAGGTTGCTAGCAAAATAGAAAGTCAGTGTGGTTCACAGCAATCAAAAGAAGATCTGGGGAAGTCCAGGCAGCATTTATCCCAGCCTAGAAAGATCTCAGTCACTCTGGAAATAGCAACATCACACATTACTTGCTTTGGTCCTTCGAAAGACTGTTCAGGCAGGAACAGGTTACAAAGATTGGGAAACACCCTTTCTTCACAAACTCAGTTGAGCTTTTACAACTGCTTTCAGCTCAGATCCTGCTATGTTTCTTTCACAGCTTCTGGTGAACAGTGGCTTTGGGAAAGATGTTAATTCTCTGTATGGTAAATGAATCAGGCAAAGCAGTCAGTCAAATTACAGCATCCATCTAGCTTGTAAACAGGCTTTGTTATACTGCTGTATCTTATGCAGTACAAAGAAACCAGCAACATTTTCTATTCACAAGATGTGCAAGTTGTTGTTTGGGGTTCTTTTATAACAAATGCAGTGAGAACACACAAACGCATTTAGAAGGACCAACACAACACAGCTTGGGCAAAAAGACAACCCCTCACTTGCTCCCATCAATTGCAATGATTTCTCCTACCGACGGCACTCTGTGAGACTTTCCAGGGTCTGGAGTACTGACAGCCAGTCTTCTGCCACTGACTGACCTTTCTCCAAAGTCAATGTCTAGGCACACTTCTCTGTGCTCCAGTATTTTGAGAGCAGCAAATTTATCTGAGGTCATCATAACATCTATGAGCCAAGTAGAAGGGCTTGAAAGTTTTTCCTTGCAAAGGCTGAACACAGACAGGAATTCTCAGTGAGCCAAAAATAGTAAATGGTACAATTAGAAAAGCTGCTAAACTTTGCAATAGCCCTTCCCAAAGGGTCACTGGCACATTGACCCAACCTCACCTTGTCACAGAAGACTTTAATCTGGCAGTAGGCTCTGTGGACAGGTTTGTTACTCCTGTTATTGTAGCTATAAGTGTCGATCTGAAGATTCAGAGGCAGGCCTTTAACTCCCTTCTGAGAGGAGAAATCCGTGCTGAGGCAGTTCACAGAAATGAAAACCTGTAAAAGAGGAAAGCAGCATCCATCAATAGTGACACATATACTCTTGGTTGGCTGCTGAGCAAATAACTACTCAGTGAGTGCCAAGGTCTAAATGCTGGTCCTTGCCACTACAAGCAGGACCTTCTTTATTCTGAGAGATCAGGCAAAATCCTCAAGAAGCAGTACAACATTCTTAATTCTTTAAGCCGTTACAGGGGACAAAGCCACTTTGTCCAGAATGGATTTCAACACACTCTCCAAACGTTATGAAGACTCCACCCATCCTTCCCAGATATTTCCACCCAAGAGATTTCAAATGCCATCACAACTTTTAGCAACAGCAATCCTCCTACACCCAATCCTCACTGCCCAGTGTTTTACCATCTTGGTAAGAACACAATCATGCTTTGAAAAATTTATGTTACTTTGGGCAAGTTAAAACAAATCTTTCCATGAGTTTTACATAAGCTGCTGGGATCACAGCTTATGCTTGAAACTACTTGGGGACTTTTTTGTTGTTGATTTCTTGCAAATGATATTAAAATCTTTTAAAAAAATATTAAGCAACATCTTTAAACATAGCAATAATGCCATTATTTCAGTGAAAGAGTTTCTGTGCTTTACACTTAAAAAGATAATCACTATTTTGAATATTCCCCCATAAGACCTACAATACCCTGTTAATATTCAGATCAAAAGGGAAGAACAATATTTTCATTATTCTAATAGAAATATTGAAATATGGGGAAAAGGAATTAAGAGTAATTTTGAACATATCTGATTTCGTTTTCATAATTGCCTAAAAAAACCCAAACGCACCCACAACCTGAAAACAAGCCTAATGCTGCTTAACAGAAGGAAGAAATATCCTTGCATGGATATGAACAGACAGACCAGAGTACTTTTTATCCAGAACGTGGGTTTGATGAGTGCCAGGCTTTTCTCCAGACACAATCCTCATTATTGGCATCTCTCAGAAGAAGCTGCAACGATTAATTACCATGAATTTACGAGCTACCTAGACCTGCAATGGCTCCTCTCCTCTCTGCCTGAAGAATAAAGGCTGGGAACCCACTGCTTTAAAAAATAATCAAAGCCATGGGAGCCAGAAGCACCTTGAAAGATTTCACAGGAGTACTATCCCACTACCTGATGGCTTGCTTATTGTGCTACTACCACGAAGTAGTACATTTGACAGTCTCTGCAGTGAGTTAGTGCCACCTCCTGGAGCCATCCTGTTGTTGCAAAGTCTCAAGGTAGGTTTTGAATATCATATGGGTTTGGGTTGGATTTGTGGTTTTGCAAAGTGCTTATCATGGGCTTCTTTGCTCAGGTTCTGCAACATCCTTTATTAGTTTTAACAAAAGAGGGGAAATGGAAATGTAATAATATCATCAACTCCCCCCCATATAACACAGTAGTATAAAAAGCCGGGGGGAGATGGTGGTGGTGGTGCAGAGAACAGTATAGAGAAGTGTCAGAGCAGGGAGGCAACTGCCAGCACACCAGCTCAGCAAACAGTCCCCATCCCTTTCCTGGTGCATATACAACCCTGCTGAGCCCTGCTTGTGCAAAGGGACATTGAAACGTGTGGATCAACATCTAACTCATGCCAGCAGAGCCCCATTCCCAGCCACCCCAACCTGCACTGCTTGTTCTGCAGTGGCCCAAGACAGGACAACTCACAGGGACAGCAGCGCGGAAGGTGAGCCAGTGCTCAGTGCCTGCTTGCCTTCCAGACTCTGCCTCAGCATCCCACACCTGTGGTTGTTCCAAGACAACTTTCTTCAAAAGCATTAAATACATCCCAAATCACAGCCAGGAAAATTATTTTAAAATAAGCTCTTCTCAGTCTTCCCCAGACTAACCCAAATGATGTCTTTGCCAGCTTTTATCCACCCCTCCCCCCTTCCCTTTTTGCTACCTTCAGCTTTACAAGGGCATTTCGCTTGCAGCGCTGGCACACCCCAGGGGGAAGCTTCAAGGAGTCTGAAGAGTTGCTTTCACCCACTTTGGAGGTAGGTAATCAGATGTATGCACAGCCTGAATAATTGTATTCCCTGAGCTGACGTTTTGTTTTTTAAAAAGAGCCTCAACTCTGGTGTTTGCATATTTTTACATTTTAAATTTTAATTTTAAATGTATTTATCCATACTGAATATTCACACACAACTCATGTCTGTATGAAGAAATGACTGCATTCTTCAAGAAAATATGCCTGAGCAACCATTTCACACCAATTTATGTGAAATCCCTTGTTTGAGTTTCACACAGCTGGACACCAGTGGACTAAACGTGCAGCATCAGCCACCAGTTCCCTAGCAAGCGATGTCACTTCTTTACCAGATAATTCAGGGATACATTTTCAGTTTTCATGGCTTACCAGCCACCCAAAACCTACACAGCACACTGTGCTAAAGGTAGAAGCATTGGTCTCAGCACAACAGACACATGCTACAGCAGCAGAACTGCATGGGTATCCCATGGGAATATGGGACTGCCTGTCAGATGACAAAGATTATCCTCCTACTTTAGAGTCTCCTCATTTGATTAACTTTGGCTTTAGTAGCTGACTTCATTTTCATACCATTTAAGTCTTCAGGACTCTGGGCAGAAGATGACAACTAAAACCTAATCACCTCAGAAGCCACAGAGAGGCAGCCTGTCTTCTGTTCATACAAAGCCATTTCAGTTCAAAAGGATCATCTACTTCGCCCTACCCATTCTGTATCTCCTACTTTCGATCAACTTCAGGGGTTGCCTCAAGTTCCACAAAAATGGAGGTTTAACAAACAGCATTTCCAGTTTGGGCTAAAAGAGTTTCAAGCCAGGTGCTTTTTGCGATTTGACTTAGGTTTGAAAAGAAACACAAGGCCAAGTGACTGTGCCAGCTACATCCCCACCCCAAAATTGCCAGAAGAAAGAAAAACATAACCGCAGAAGTTGCTCTGCGTCTTCAGCCTGCTGAGCAAGATTCCTTTTCCTGTGTCCAACCTATTTTTCTAAGGGCAGTTCCGCATTCTCAGCTATATTAAGATTTGTTGTTACTTTTAAAAAAAACATTTTCATCTCACCTCCCAAGATTCAACATAAAGACAGCGCTTAAAAATAGAGCATTGTCACAAGTCAAGCCCTCAAGAGTTACAGATATTTGCTTTAGAACTGACATTTCTAAAAGAATTATAATCTATTCTCAAGTTATTTTGCTTGTCAGTTAAGACTTTAGTCTATATTTGAATCATATTTCCATGTTTCTCTCTCCAACCAAAGGCTTTATTTTCTTTTTCTGTCTTGTTGATTTCTTCATGCTTTTTTTATTATTAACAAAAGCTAAGATTCTCATCAAGACAAATGACTCCACAACAGTGAAGTTTAGAGGTAAAACACCAAAGGGCATGAAACCTGTGAGCTGGTATGAGCTGTTAAGCTCCCCCCTCATCTGGTGACCTATACCCCAACATGCTACAAACCCTCCTCCACCCACCACCAGACTGGGTTTCCTGCAGCCTTTGGGGCAGACGAGCAGCAACCCAACCACACAGAGCAGAACACCGAACGCAGGATTAAAGCACCTCCTCTGGTATCACGCTGGAAGTAAGCGTGGGAAGAAGCCAGACCTCATGACTTCCCAAGTCTGCTTCAACCACCTGACCACTCACATCCCTCCTCATCTAACCTGGGAGAAGCACACCATGCCTACATTCAAATCTACGAGAAACAATCTTCCATTTTAATAGTGCAGAAAAAAAAATTATCTGGCAGCTCTGCTGTGTGCCCTCAAGGAAGGGCAGCAGAGACAGCCAAGTTCTTTCCACACAGCACCTTTTTCTAACAAGATCTGCCTTTCAAACAAACCAGGAAAAACAGGCATAATTAAAGGGCAATCAAAGCACTGCAGGAACCTCGCTGTCAGCGAGATGAAAGATGCCTTTTTTAAATGAAGGCTTGCATACCCAGGATCTCTTCTCCTTGGTTTATCTTGGATGCCGTGCTCTTTTGTCACACAAAAAGCACCAGCAATTTTGATTAGTCCAAAGGCTACATATGCAGCAGCTTAGATGAAATGTCACCTTGTACAGCCTCTTCTGACTCACTGCAAAGCAAGGTTGAAAAGGAGCGATATGTAGGTACACAACAATGTCTGGGTTTTCCACAGGTAATAGCACCACAGGCATTACGGTGCCACAGACAACTCAGATGGGTACTATCACACTGTAAGCTCCAGCCAGTCCCCAGCTAACACAGACACGGATAAGACTAATGCCCACATCACAGATCTCCCTGTTGTGCAAAATCTTGTACATCCTTCTGGATAAGACCCTACACAGGCATAATTGAGACTATTCCATTCTGATCACCTTGCTCCACATGGCTTTCATTTCAGTAAGAGACCGGTAAATCAAATTTACTGCCTCCTGTTTATGCTCCATAATATTTCTGTACCCAGAGGATGAAGACATCACTCAGTAATCCAAGTCCATTAGGTATTTATTTCTCTATTGAGAATTCTGATAAAACTTTAGCTCTTTTCTAGCACTAGTAGACAAAAGCCTTCCATTTTAATGTTATATTCAACTTAAAATTGTCAGGATGCTTTTGATTTTGGATTACTGTGTTTGTTCAGAATACAGAGTTTGGAGCCTACAACACAACAACCAGGGACAGGTTAAATTGCAATGAGCTTCTTACCAGGGAATGCAGTTGGATGCTGTTTTTCTTGACCTTGGCTAAATAATTCTAGTGTTCCGTCCAAGTCACAGTAGGCAAAGGGATTCCACTGTGTTCTGGGACCATTTTCCCAACACAAAGGCAGTGTCTTGCCTGTGGTCTGATCACCACACAACCTACTCAAAGAGCAGCCTGAGGCTGTGCACGGCCCTTGCACAACAGGACCCACCGGACCTATATTGCATCTTGTTTTGCTCTCCTTTGGAGCATCAAGGCCATTCCTGTGGTCTCTGGCCAGGGAGAGCAGCAGTAACTGCACAGCTGAGTTGATTTACCTGTTATTTTCACTT